AACGAGCGATAACGCTCGCGTCAGGATTACGCGAGCCGTTACGCGGCTCGATTAGGCGACGCGACGTTGGGTCGCGACGCGACACGCCGGTGAAGCCACAAAAAAGGAGGTTATGGCACTGGGAAAGTAACGTAATGAGTAGAATCGGCGTCTGGTAACGAGGAGACGCCAGTCTGGAACGTTTGTCTCCTTCGCGGAATCTAGGATTCGCTTCGATGCGATTCGCCCCGCTTGACATAACCTAACCGAACTTTTGTTACGTTTCTCGGATAAAAGCTATCTATGTAGTTATTAGTTGCTATTAGGTCGGCCAGGAAGTCATTGCGCTGTTTCCCAATAGATGGCTAAGAAAATAAACGCGATGACCTATTTTGGCCAACTCGGTTAATTCTAACCGCCATTCTGCTTAATCTTCGGTTAGGCAATAGTTCGAGCCACTGCTTCATTGCAAATTTTTATATTATAACAGGTACGATCGTTATGTTATGTAAAAATTATTACATATTATAAAATTTAAGAAGAGGTCAAAGTTATGAAATCAATCATCGTCAAAAATTGCATTCGAAATCTTTTTTCTTGTGAAAAAAAATTTGTCAAAACAAAACGCACGAGTTCGCCGAAACGTCTATTTCTGGCCGCCTATTTTATTATTATTATTTCTCCTATTTATTATTATTATTTCTTCCGCCTATTTCTTCAGGTGTTCAAAATATGGAACTGGCAGGACAACGACACCTACATCCCCCCCGTCAGGGTGTTCACCTACCTGCTGGGCAAGGAGGTGTCGAAGGTACGCGAGATCCAGTGGATGGCGTGTCTGAATCGCGGCTACTACACGCACGTTCACACGCAGGAAGAAGTTCGGGAACAGGTGCTGAAGTATATACCCGTGGTGGCGAGACCTATGGTCCTCCAGGACAAGGTGCATCCGATTGTCTGGACTCACGCGTACGCCGACATCACTGTAAGCTTTTCTCTTTTTTTTCACGAAATAGAAAACGAAACCGGGGGATCGTCAGAAACCGAATAATTTATTGCCGAATTTATAATTTATTATAGTTTAGTGCCGAATAATTTACTAATAATTTATTAATTATTTATTCATTAATAATTTATAAATATTTATTTATTAATAATTTATTAATTATTTATTTATTAATAATTTATTAATTATTTGCTAACAATTTATTAATTATTCATTAAAAATTTATTATTTATTTATTTATTTATTAACAATTTATTATAATTTATTATAATTTAATGCCGAATAATTTCATTAGTTCGAGCTCTGGTTCAGTGTTAAGGACAACGAAAACCGCGCGCGTTCTCAGTTAGCTCAGTTATTATAGAACGTAATCCTCACGACGAGAAGATCCGATTCGAATCGGGTTACATAGCCGTGGGAACTGAACCGGCATGAAAACGATTCGCAGGAAACGTAACATGATCTACGCCGCGGCGCACGGTGGTCTGAATGTTCACTTTCTTTGCTTTCAATTATATTTTAGCATTGCTTCAAGGTCGAAGCTTGTAGTAATTCTTGTAGTTGAATTCGTCTCGACACCGGCAAATAATTAGACACCGAAATAACTAAAATATAGGTATATTTAGGCTAATGTTAGGTATTAATATTTATTTAATATTATATAGATATATATTATATTGTATATAATATATAGATATTATATTATATATATTATATATAATATTATATATATTCAAGCAATCGTCTAAGAGTCACTCTCTCTCTCTCTCTTTATCTTTATCTCCATTTGGGTTAGCACGTAAGGATCTCTCTGGCTCTGTAAATATTCTCACTTGAAATTCCATCAGAATCCGGCACTCGCCACTTGGCTGTGGCTGGTGATGCAGCACGAAGAGCAACAGTCCCGGCTCCAGAAACACCTGAAAGGGAAACGCCTGGGCGTGCGAATGAATGAGGACGAAATCTACATACAGCAGGTTGATGAACCCCATGCAAACCAACCAACAGTAGCGAACCCCGTAGTCGCTTTGTCCCTGCTCCAACCGGCAACCAAGATGGCTGACAAGGGAACCCCGGCGACCGATACGCGCTGATTTCTACTAAACTCTGCGCAATTGTTCCATCAGACATACCTAAGATATACATATGTATATATGTATATACATATATGTATAACCTTGTCATATACATATCTATATATGTATATAATTATTTAAATGTAATATATATAATTACTACTAATAATATTATTATATATATATATATATTATATTATATAATATAAATTATAATATAAATATAATTATTATATAGTACACTATATATAAATATTATATAATATAATATAATATAAATTATATAATATAAATTGAAATTGTTTTACCTATGTCTGGATATACTTTCACAGTAAGAAGTACAGTAGAAACTAGAAATACAGTAAATTCTTGGGTGTGTCTGTCAAAGCATTGCGCGAAGTTTCATCAAAATCGACGACCGGCGTTTCCTCGTAAATCCTCTATTTTCGAACTAGGACTGCGATTAATAATAACAATAATAATAATAATAATAATAATAATAAATTGTGGATTGCAGTAGAACCCCAGTAGAATCTCTGGTCGAATCCTAGATAAATCTGCTGGCTCCGGCGAGCTGGCTGCTGGTCTCCAGGGAGCCTCGATAGATTCCACAGTCGATTGCCCGCGAGAACCACTTTTGCCACGAGAGTAGACGCGCGACAAGTAGAGTCGCGCCGAGGCGCGCACACACACACACACAATTCGGATCCGCCGCCGTATTTCGGCTAACACGACTGCAAAGTTTTCGCCGGCTCTCTTGGACTTTGTAATATCCCCCCGCTGCATTATTAATGCCGAATATCGTTGTCCCTGTTTTGAAGCGCGCGCGCGTGTCAGCTTTCGCGTGCCAAAGTTGCGCGCAAATTACAATTTGTAATCACAATGTGTAATTCAATTAGTCGACGAATTATAATTGCAATACGACTATTGGTATACGACGTAATTGAATTACAATACATTTGAAATACGATGTAATTCAATTACAATACAATTAAAACACGAAGTAATTGAATCACAATGCAATTGAAACACGAAGTAATTGAATTACAATACAATTGAAATACGAAGTAATTGAATTACAATACAATTGAAATACGATGTAATTCAATTACAATACAATTGAAACACGACGTAATTGAATTACAATACAATTGAAATACGAAGTAATTGAATTACAATACAATTGAAATACGATGTAATTCAATTACAATACAATTGAAACACGACGTAATTGAATTACAATACAATTGAAATACGAAGTAATTGAATTACAATACAATTGAAATACGATGTAATTCAATTACAATACAATTGAAACACGACGTAATTGAATTACAATACAATTGAAATACGAAGTAATTGAATTACAATACAATTGAAATACGATGTAATTCAATTACAATACAATTGAAACACGACGTAATTGAATTACAATACAATTGAAATACGAAGTAATTGAATTACAATACAATTGAAATACGATGTAATTCAATTACAATACAATTGAAACACGACGTAATTGAATTACAATACAATTGAAATACGAAGTAATTGAATTACAATACAATTGAAATACGATGTAATTCAATTACAATACAATTGAAACACGATGTAATTCAATTACATGATTTAGTACCCCGTCCAGGACTCTTCTACGTAGTTTCCACGATCCAGTGTTGGCTCCCCTAAGCTTATTCGACGGAAAGTGTTATGTGACGTTAGTCGCTGATCTCGATCGAATGTTCGCAGCTCCACAAGGACGAGGACGTGCGGCAGGACGCCTCGATGCTGAACACGACCGCCTGGCAGGAGTACAGGCTGCTGACGTCGGTGAGCACGCCGGTGTTCGATCGCCAGGGCAATGCGAGAGCCTATAAGAAACACAACAGGACAAGGGTTGCGGATATGCTGGGCGTGGCGGGCACCGACGTGCCGATCGACGATATACGGAAGCTCACGTTGCCGTACAAGCTCGGCGTGAACGGCTACGCCTTCATCGTGTCGAACAACGGCTACGTGATACTCCATCCGGACCTCAGGCCGGTCTTCAAAGGCAAGCTGAAGCTCAACTACAACAGCATCGACCTCACCGAGGTGGAGATCCTGAACGATGGTCGGGAGCCGAGGTAGGTGAACGGAGAATCGAAGAGCTTCGACACCACGATCGCTGGAACACGGATTGAGACAGTAAATTTAACCTGTAAACAAAGTAAACAATTTGGGAAAGGGAGATACGATTATTCGAGCCTCGCGGCTCGAATTATTAAAGCATTATTAATACTATAAAGAAGTATTATTAATACTATAATTACTACTATATTATAGAAAACAAAGTAAACAATTTAGGGAGGGGAGATACGATTATTCGAGCCTCGCGGCACGAATTATTAAAGTATTATTAATACTATAAAGAATATTATTAATACTATAAAGAAGTATTATTAATACTATAGATTACTACTACAGGATGTCCCAAAAATGTCTTGCAATCCGAAAGCAGGGAATTCCTGAGGTCATTTGAAGCAACTTTTTCCTTAGCGAAAATGCGATCCGCGGCTCCGTTTACGAGTTATCAACGAAAAACAGTGACCAATCAGAGGTGAGATTTTGTTGTCTCGTTTGGCGCGAGACAGCCGAGCCAATGAGCGTAGCTGGGCTTCGCGCGCTCGTTGGCTGGGCCGCCGCGCGCCAGCCGAGCTCGCCTCTTATTGGTCAGCGTTTTTCGTTGATAACTCGTAAACGAAGCCTCGGAGAAAATTTTCGCAAAGGGAAAAGTTGCTTCGAATGACCTCGGAAACCTCCCATTTCCGGATTGCGAGACATTTTCGGGACACCCTGTAGATTAATACTAATCTAGATACGACTGTGTCTAGATTAAATAAGTAAAGACTAAGATGATTAATGGAAGAATGAAGTTGCTAGTTGGATTTTATTTTCTTGCGATTGGCGGAGACAATTTCTGTTTTATGTACAGTCACTCGCGAAAGTATTTGAACACCTACCAGGGAAAAGTTTCCAAATTATAATACAGTGCCTGCAGAAGTATTATTAACACTATAGATTACTACTATATTGTAGATTAATACTAATCTAGATACGACTATCTGTACCCGAATTTTCCTTCAGCTTGTAAACAAAAATGGACAATTTGAGAAGAGGAGACACGATTGTTCGAGCCTCGCGGCTGTTGTTTCTATGTTTATTGATAATCGGTGACTATATAAAAACGACTCCCTTCGAAGTTGAACTCGTTCTAAAATAATCCGGTCACTCGAGAAGCCTATTCCGAAGAATTTTTCATTGCGGACAGATTGGAATATCTGCGGAAGTTCGGCCACGGTTCTCCACGCGAATCGTCCCCATTCGCTTTCTAATTCGATAAGGGCGCGCGGATGCTTTCATTCTCGAGCCGGTATGCACAAAGCAGAGTCTGAGAGAGAGCAGACCGTCCCTCCGCAATCAAACTTTCCCCGCAATAAATTCCGGCGGCGCGGCGCGACGCGACGCGACCGTAGAATAGGGCCGTGCGGTGTACCGGGTGTCCCAATATTACTGTCACTTCCGGGAAAATTCATTCGAAGCAACTTCTGCCGATTTCGAAGAAATTAAAGCTATTCTACGTTTAGAAGATCGTGAAATCTTCACCGCGAGTCCGACTCCCATCGCTATACAGGGTGTCCCAAAAGTTACTCAAAAAAGGTTACCGAAAGGTTCCTGAGGTGATTTGAAGCAACTTTTTCCTTTGCGAAAATGCGATCCGTGGCTTCGTTTGCGAGTTATTGACGAAAAACCGTGACCAATGAGACGCGAGCTCGGCCGGCGCGAGGCGGCCGAGCCAATCAGCGGAACCGGGCTTCGCGCGCTCGTCGGCTCGGCTGCCGCGCGCCAGCCGAGTGCTCGCCTCTCATTGGTCACCGTTTTTCGTTAATAACTCGTGAACGAAGCGACGGATCGCATTTGCGCAAAGGAAAAAGTTCCTTCAATTGACCTCAGGAACTCATTTCCTTATTGCGAGTGACTTTTTAGAAACCGAATGGTTCCCGATGCGAGAGAAATTACTGCGTTTAGTTTAGTATTTTAGTTTTGTACAATCGTCCCGGAAATATTTTATCTTGCACAAAGAATTGTTCGCCATGTTGCCGTCACGGCAGTCACGTGTAGCAACTAAGGAAGGAGTTACTTCGGATAATAACCTCAAATACCTCTTTAGGTTGCCCGATCGCTAGCGACTTTCGGGACACCCTGTATACATATTGCTTCCGGGGACTATGCTCCGGGGATTTCTTATTTTTTTTTTTATTAAAAACGAGCGCAGGAACCCGGGGCCGGAGGTGCTGGAGCTGCGTGCTGCGCTGGTCGACCACAAAACCGGCAGCATGAAAGGGGTGCCGGTGAAATTGCATTACGACGACAATCGTCGTGTGACCCTCGAAAGACGGGACTATTTCTACGCGCCGTTGCCGGGCACGCCCTTCGGCCTTGCGGTCGCTATACCAAATTACGGGACCACGTGGATCAAGGTAATTTCGTTTCTCTTTCTCTCTTTTTATCGTATCGTTTCTCTTTTCTTTTTTCTTCACTCCATTTTGATATGCTACTTCCTTTGATCAAGTAAATATTATTATCATTATTATCATATTATTATTATTATTATCGTCATTATAATAATTATTATTCTATTATTACTCTATTATTATTATTGTTATTATCATAGTTATTATATTAATTATTATTCTATTATTATTATTATTATTGTTATCATCATCATCATTATAATAATTATTATTCTATTATTATTACTCTATTATTATTATTATTATTATCATCGTCATTAAAAAAAGATCCATTTCAAAAAATATCATCCCATTCCTGTCGAAGGTCGGCGACGAGATCCGCAGGAACCAGAACATGAACATCGACATCTCGCAGTTCTTCGTCGGCGGCAACTGGAGGGTGCACCCCGGCTGGGTGTACTGTCGCTACCATTATCTGGAAGGTCACGAGTTCGAGGACACCGAGGAGGAGCTCGTACACTTTCTGGAGCTGATGAACAAGCCGGGCTGGCGATGGTCGGAGCAGTACGAGGCCTATTCGACGGAGCCTGTCACGGAGAACGACACCTTGAACTGCGGCAGCAGAACGCTCTCGCAGGACGATTACTATTGCAACAAAGAGCTGATGCAGCTGTTGGTGTTCGACGCGAAGGCGACCAACGGCAGCTTCAACGAGGAGTTCCGGCTGGAGGAGCCGAGGGCGAGGCAGCTGGTCAAGATCTACGGGATCTTTCTGCGGTTCGTCGCCACGCAGAGCGGCCTGACCAGATGGCATCATTTGGACACGAACAGAGTGCCCACCGAGGACGACGGCATCGTATTCGGGGACCTTCATCGGAGAGCGGTCAACGAGCCCTGGTACAAGGGCGCCATTTTCCAGAATATCGCCGACCCTGACAGCATTTCCGTCACGGGTTCGTTATTCGTGCATTATGAAAGAAAAGCAACCGGATAGTTCTCGCGGTCCGAGGCACCGAAACTGTTTATTTTATAAGGCTATGTACAGAGTGTCCCGAAAATGTCTCGCGATTCGAAAGTGGCGGGTTCCTCGGGTCATTCGAAGCAACTTTTTCCTTTGCGAAAATTTTCTCCGAGGCACCGTTAACGAGTTATCAACGAACAAACAGTGACCAATGAGAGGCGAGCTCGGCTGGCGCGAGGCAACCGAGCCAATGAGCGGAACCGGGTTTCGCGCGCCGGTTCTTATTGGCGCACTGTTTTTCGTTGATAACTCGTTAACGGCGCCTCGGAGAACATTTTTGTAAAGGAAGAAGCTGCTTCGAATGATCCGAGGAACCCGCCATTTCCGGATTGCGAGACACTTTTGGGACACCCTGTATATTATATATTAGGCCATATTTTCAGGACACCCCGTATTGTCATCTAGACTCACGTGGTTGCTATTACGCGTAGCGTGAATAATAATATAATAATAATAATAATCGAGAAATAATAATCACAATAACAGAAAAGTAATAATAATATTAATGGAACAGTAATAGTAATATTAATAATAATAATAACATAATAATAATAATCGAAAAATAATAATCACAATAATAGAAAAGTAATAATAATATTAATGGGACAGTAATAATAATATTAATGGAAAAGTAATAATCATATTAATGCAAAAGTAATAGCAATATTAATGCAAAAGTAATAATAATATTAATGGAAAAGTAATAATAATATTAATAAAAATAATAGAAAAATAATCAGGAAATATGTATAAGAAATACAAAGCGGTAATGAATTCGTTAACGATTCCAGTTCCATGGGAGGCGGGCGCGGACGCCATAGTGACGGCCTCCATAGGGATATTCCCGAAAGACGGCGGTAAAACCGCGCCAGCGGCGGTCGTTGGCTTCCAAATGCCCATGCGGGATCTTTACAACAGATTCATCAACCTGACCTCGGAGCCGGCTAACTCGAGCATGAACTGCGCCCACGGCTGGATCGATTGCTACCTGCTCGATCAGAACGGTTACGTGGTGATATCGGAGGCGCACAACGACACCGGCCAATTTATGGGGACGCAGGAGGGCGCCGTCATGAACTCCATGGTGGGCCAGGGGCTCTTCAATCCGGTGGAGATTTACGACTACCAGGCGTGGTGCGAGGAAATTGTGAGTGAGCCACGCCGCGCTACGTACAGCAATGTCTCTCTAATTGACGCTCGGTTTGTCCAGAAAAATGGACAATTTAGGGAGAGCAGATACGATTATTTAAGCATTGCGGCGGTTCGTTTTCATAGTTACGAATTGTCGAGAAATATAAAAACGAGCCGCAAGGCTCGAACAATCGTATCTCCTCTTCCCAAATTGTCCGTTTTTGTGCGCAATCCG